TTTTCTCTATTATAATAGAGCTATACTACTAGCTACTATTTTATAATTTAATATATAAAATATATATTTTTAGCTACTTATATAAATATATAGTATAGTAATATTATAGATAATTACTTAAGCTAAACTTATTAAAATTAAAGAGAGTTATATCTTATAGGTTTAAATATATTAGTATTTATATTATAATAATAATCTTAAATATCTATTATATTACTTATTAAATGTATACTTATTACTTTACTTAGGTATAGTATTCTATTAGGAATTAGAAAATCGTTACTAATACTATTAGCTAAATATGTTCGAGATATTAGTCTAGGCTATATATTTTAATCTCTAGTAATAGATGTTTAGATAAGAGATATAAAGTAAGAGGTTAAATTTAGACTAAGTATAAACGTTACTTTAGTAAAGTATATATAATTCTAAGTACTCCGGAATATATCTATTCGACCTAAGCTACTTCTCTTAGTAAAATTACTCTTACTATAGAATACTTTATATCTAATAGGCTCTAGAATATTAAAAGTAGACTCAATAAACTATATAGTCCTTTTATTAAATATAAAATATAAGTATAGAGAATTCTAATTAAATTAGAAGAGTTATAAAAATAGTAAGGATATAATTAAGATAATAGTTAGGTTATATAAAAGTATTATAAGAAACTTTCTTTTAGCTATATAGTTAAGTATACTATCTAATACTACTTAGATAAGAGTAAAATAAGAATAGTAGTATTTATTAAAAGGGTTTACGCTTAGTACTATCTAGATTCTAGCTTATATTACTATAAAAGGCTATTAAGTATAATAATAGTAATTAATATAGAGATTATCTTTAGTATTATTAGTAGGATTTAAATTAACCTAGAACCTTAAGGTTCTAAGAGGTAGTATTTTATAGTTAGAAGTTAGAATATAAAGAAGAGGAAGTTATTTTCTCTTAGAAAATAGTAGTTAGTTTAGATATAGAGACTATTATACTTTCTTTATTTATAGAGTCTTTATATAAATTATACATTCTTTAGTATTTAGGTTTTTTATTATACTTACTTTATTTATACTTTTATAAGTATAGTAATTAGAGTAGAGAGATAAAAAAGGACTTTATATCTATAGAAGTAATAAATAAAAGTAGATTAATTACTAATCCTTTATTACTAATCTTTACTTAGTAGGAGATTATAAAGTATAAAATCTGAAAAGTAGAGACGTCCACTTTATAGTACTTAGATCTCCACTTTTAACTACCTAATTAGGCTTATGTACGAGAATCTCTGCTACCGAGTTCCCAGAGGGGTTACGAGTACTTACTTAAGATGAAGCTTAACTGGGCGAGATTGGATGAAGTTTTCAGATGAGGTTTATTTGTTTGTTTGGTTAAGAGGGTATTGGTGATTGGTACCATATTGGTACTTGGTACTTGGTATATTTAGAATACTAGGTGAGGTGGAGGGAGAGGGCGAAGGGAGGGAAAGGGGGGTGTAGTGTGGGGACTTGGTAATTAGTTGACTTGAATCGTTCTTGTTATTACTTTGAGAAGTGTTAAAAGGTTTACTTGCTGCGTTGAACACTACTTTCCCAGCGGGACTAAGGGAATTGGATTACGGGCTTTAGGGAAGATTCTCCGGGAAAGACAGGGGTTGGAGGGAGGTATGCAACGTCCTTGACACTTCACTGCTTTCTTAGCGTCAACGAAGGGGGTTGAAGTCATGTCATTCTTCAGCCTTACACCCTACGCTTTCACTGCTTTCTTAGCGTCAATAGAGGGTTTGGGCTCCTGGCAGTCGGGGACTCTCTGGATCCATATTGAAATAAGTACAGTTGGGTCTATATGAAATTGGCTAAAAGTCGGTATCATCCAGCCAAAAGTAAGATACCTGGTCGTTACGCTGTACACACTATATAAAACTCTATTATACTAAAGTTGTAGTATAATCAAACTAATTGTCTTAGGATACCTGGGACAGTGAAAAGTAAGACCTAATAATTATTCAAGTTCTTTATACAACTATTTTAGTTGTGCGACGTTTTTGGAATATTTTTATTCTAAGAGAGGTGGGTAGAGAGGAACGACCATGTCTCTTACATGGTGTGGAAGCGATTCACAGCATCATTATCAGATGAAGGTATCGGTACAGAAACTTTATTGGCGAATCCTTCCGCCGCTCCGCGGCCTGTTCCCATGTCAATTGGAGAAAGGTCTGCTCCTCTGCACTACGGTGCGGGTCTGGGCGTGGTGGTTCCTTCAAATACTTCAAGGCTAATTGATCATGGCTCCAGCCACCTTGAGTGCTACATTCCACTGGCCATAAGGCGCACGGAGATCGTACGGAGATCATATGGATCTTCCGGATTACGGGTGGACATTAACTCTTCCATTGGGGTCGTGGCAGGGTCGAGGTTCTCTGCTGCGTCCTGAAAAATCCCGAATTGTCACTGTCTTCGGCGGAGGATAAGTCATCATCAGATAATGAACTCGATGATACTACCTCCTTGGTAGTGAGGCTTCGACAGGGTCTGTGGAGCGTTGGTTCGCGTACAGGGTCGTACTGTAGGAGGCAGGGGGTTGAGAAGCTATGTAACGTCTTCAACACTTCACTGCTTTCTTAGCGTCAACGGAGGAGCTGTATTACAGGGTTCGTTGAAGAACTTCTGATTGGCGAGGCATACTGTAATGATGACTACATAGACTGCACTGCTTTCTTAGCGTCGATAAAGGGGTTGGATTACAGGTCGTCTTGTGGAAGGATTTCTCGGGAGGGGGAGGGGTTGAGGAAGATACTGTATGCAACATCTGAGGATTGCATAAGGTGTCCAGGGAGCGACACTGCTTTCTTAGCGTCAACGAAGGAGTTGGTTGGTGTTATAGATTGGTGTTTTACAGCCAAAAATTAATAAGATGGAAACGCGGCATTCGTATTTTTATCAATAAAGAATCCTCGAATTGCTCGCTTTTGAAAGCTAGATGTTTGTAAGACATATATGTATATATATTATAGTAATGGAAGGAGGTGGAGGTAATTAAAAGAGGTAAAGATAACGTATTAGAAACAATTACAAAGTCCTTGTTCCGTACTAGTTTCTATGGAATTGTTACTGAATGAGATTTGGTAATGTTAGAAGAATACGCAGTTTAGACCAGCGTTCGGCATCTGGAATTCCTTTCCATTCCAGAGGGGGTATCTGGAATAATTCCATTTCTTTTAATAAACTAATGGAATTATTCCATTCCAGACCCCCTTGTTCCATGGAATTGAGTGAAATTCCAGCTGGAATTTGTCACATGACCCGGGGAAATGTACTCCCGCTCCGTCGACTAATAGGAAGTCTCCAGTGCCCTATTTATATTAAACCCTATTTATATTAAACAGTCAGATAGCAAGTTATATCACGTGAATGCCCCCCTAAATGTCTCCGGGCTACCTTCCATAGGGTACGAGTATCGCAAATACTTCTAGATCAAAAGGAACATATTAGGTACTATTATATCTTCCTCCCTCTAGGGCTATATAGCTCCTATAATCACGTGTTTTAAATAGTCTGGAATTCCATGGATTCTATATTCCATTTCATGGAACTCGTTCCTTTTGCCGATCGCTGGTTTAGACCTTGCGACATGAAAGCTCGGGTTCCTGGTATACTCATCAATCTATTTACTTCTTGGAAAGTGGTAGCCTTCTCGCGTAATATAGATGGAAATTCAACCTCTTCTTTGACGCTAAGAAAGCAGTGCTCAGATTGACAGTGTGTTGAGAATAATAATGCTAAGCTTTACAGTATCGTTACAGTACCTAACACAACCGTAGGCGCGCCCACTGCTTTCTTAGCGTCAACGAAGAGCGCTGCAGTGATATCCCACAGGCCAGGTAAGTCAAAAACTCAGAAAACTCCCTGATCTATAACTATTCCTGCGAAGAAAATCTTGGATTTTGATAAAAGCTGTAAATAAACAGAAAATAAATATTCCGAGTAAAGTCATACGTGCTCTCGAAAATAATCATAGTGTTTTTCTCTACTTCTATGAGGACTTCGTTTTTACAAGGCCAGCTCTCAGTTGGCACTAGACCCTCCTCGTCAAAGCTAATAAGAAAGCAGTGCTATGAAAATTTGCTATATCAGATCATTATATCTACGTATGTAAACCCCAACAAAGATTCCACCACATTCTTCATCAACGAAGAGAGTACAAGTAGGAACGAAAAAAGAGTGGAAAATATACCTAATGTCTATCATCCCTTTCCAAGCACAGTGTTGAATTTGGAACTTATTATAAGGAAATACAAAAGTTCAAAAGACAAGCGATGAAGAAGGTAACAGTAACTCTCTTTACTAGAAAGAGAAGTAGAAATATCAAAGCACTACTCGAGTAATCTCAAGCTATTCTCAAAGAAACGATTCTTGGAAGAAGGCAAGTTCTTAGTAGTCAGGATATAAGTCGGGATATAAATGTACCATCCACCCTTTTTATTAACGCTAAGAAAGCAGTGAAGCTAGGCCGAACTAGCTATCCTGAGAATAGTTATGTGTAGCCTTAACCCTCTTTATTGACGCTAAGAAAGCAGTGAGGCGAAAGTTTACATCACATGTGTAACTCATCCCCCTTTTCATGAGTCTTTATTGACGTAAAGGAGTAGTAACTCTCCTATGTTGTGTATACATCCATCCTCTTTACAGAAGCTAAGAAAGCAGTGAGGCGAAAATTTACATCGTACGTGTAACCCATACCCCTTTATTGATGCAAAGAAGCAGTAAATCTACTCCAGTTTTGCATGTCTTCTTTGTTGTGTGCACTTATCTGTTTTGGTCGTTGACGCTAGGAAAGCAATGAAGGCCCCGATCCGCAAGCTATAGCTGCATAGTCTTGCGTTACTTGATGAAGCCATGGAATCGTAGAGTCGGCGATAGGTTGGTATACTCATGTAGGCGAGAAAGAGCACGCAATAGGTCGATGGATGCAGAATTATCGCCCCGTAAGCGTACCACAGAAAGTGATTTGAATTCTTCAAATCCATAATTTCGATTCAAATCGACCATTTTAAGGCCGTGAATATGCTACCGACGTATCTACATATCCCCCTATATCCACTGACCACTCAACCTCAAGTCGTATCCATTTTCTCACCCTGTCCCTTCACAGGCAATGGCCCATCAACCCTCCTCATCAACCAAGCCATCATCCCCCAAACAATCTGCATAGCCTCCACCCTGTCGTCGCTCAAGAACAAATCAAACCACTTACTCCTCCACATAACAACCTTTCTCCACTGGCCACTACCACCCTCAAGTACCCCCAGTAAAACATCCGGAACCCTCACTCTCACAATAGAAACATGATGATTCAAGGCCGAGATCAGGAAGATATCATCATACCCTTTCCCAGGGACCGGTTTGCCAATTGGCATGTACCTAGTTCGACGATCCCATGTTGGAGCCGGCGGAAGCAACTTACGGTAATTATCATAGATCTGCAGATTTTCCTTCCCTCGCTTACTTCGTTTGGTAGGTGTAGGATTGATGCCAAATATCCGTCTAGTTTCCGAGGTTACAGGCGAGATTTTCTCTTCGACCTGTGTGATGGGTGCTGGAAGAGTGGATGCTGAAGCGGTCTCATCGGCTTTATCTGCTTCTCGACCGATGGGACCGCCTGGGCCACCGCCCCAGCGGGGTACAGTAGTCCACCATTGGTCTTGTCCGAAGCGCTTTTCGGTTTTGCCTTCGCGCGCTCGGTGTTGGGCTGTGATTATCACGGCTACGACTTCTCGGGAGAGGTCAAGGAGGGAATCAGCCTCGGTGGCGAAGATGGTGCTGGTGCGGCAGGAGATCGTTGCTACAGGGCCTTCTACAATTCCTCCTCGTGCGGCAGATCGTTCCGTGGGAGTGCGGTAGATGAAGTGGGCAGATGAGTTGAAATGAGATGGTGGCGAGGAGGTTGTAGATGGTGGTGTTAGGTGGAGTCTGGGCTCGCTTCGGGCAATAGAGACATTGCAACCGAAATCATAAGCGACGAGTTTGACAAAGGATGTCATGAGATTTTGCCGATATTCGGGAGGAAGTTGGGAGCCCGTGCCAATGCGTTGGTGCGTTGCATTGTGGGATGGTACTCCTGGTTTGTCGTGAGGCTCGTCTGTTCCTTGGGACGAATCTTCGGCGGAGGGAACCTCTTTGGGGGGTAAGGATGTATCATCCCAATACGTCGAAAAGAAATCTAAATTTTTGAAGAACTCATATGCGTTTCCTAACCTGACTGAAGATTCTCCAGTTGGAGGAGGGATCCGGCGAATGCTTCGAAAAGCCGCGGTATTGTCGAGCAGCAGTTCGTCTCGTCGTTCTCGGTACATCTGAGCACCCGGCGATAGATTCCCATTACTCAAGGGTCTTTTGGTTGCGTCATTGGCTCTTAGTAGATCATCTGCTTGGATGGCGTTCCATGCTTCAACTGGTGGCAAATAATTGGATTCTGGGATGAGGTCTTGCGGTTGGGCATCTGTTATCACGTGCAGACCGAGTGCTTCCAGATGTGACAGTCTTATATCTGCTGGTCTGTGTATAGATTGAAGCAAACTGACTAGTGAATCATCTGAAGATGAAGCAGCCTTCCCATTAGATTGTGGCGTACATTGGGGAAATCTGACTGGCGTCTGAGGTGGTAGCTTCCGCGGTTTAGCACCGTCTGGGTAATACGGTGCTCCTGTACCAGATGTGAGTTTTGTACCGTGAATCGACAACGATGCCAATGGAGACCAAGACTCGAAAGACACAAGAGAGAAGAGAAAACCGTTTCAGCCGAAGCTGTTCACGCAGATCCAAATGGACAAAATGGCGACATTTTTGGGCTGGGAAGTTCCCCAAAATGGTGACAAGCTTTACAGCTGTCTGATGCACGCGTTGATCGCATGGCATAAGTCTGGGAGACCATGCCTTGAGAAGTATAGTGTGCAGACACAATCACCCCAACATGAGAAGGAGGAGGTAAGGGGACTAGTCTCTGCGGTAGATCACCAACGGTTTGAGGCTTTGGCTCTATGTCGAGGCCTGTGCCTGTGCCTTGCCTTGTCACTCGAACTTCCGGATTGGTTGGGTTGGTGTTGTGTGAGACGACGTAGAAAAGGGACCATGCGGAGCAGCAGTGCGGAGGGGAACAGGAGAACGGAGGAACGTACCAACAGGAATCGTGGCAAACATGCTGCCCCTTTTTCATTTCCCCCGCGTCACAGAGACCGCTGGTAGTGGCCGATCTTTCGATCTTTTGACTTTGGTGATGATAATGATCGATCTATAGAGCCATATCTATGATCTGAGGACGCGGAATTCCCTAACGAGAGGGGCAAACAAACAAATCCGGCTTTGGCAGTTGTCAATGTTTCCTGAGACTCTCCGAATAGGTGTTCTCGGTGGGGAGAGGTAGAGTTGACTAGTTGATGGAGGCAATCAGATGTTGAGATGGCAGATGGCAGATGGCAGTTGGCAGCGGTTTGCATGAACCTCATCCGAAGAGTTAGCTTGGATGGTGGTAACCTTATCATGCGCCGCCTAGTGCCCTCGCCTAGCGAGGACCCTACCAAGTACACCACAGCTGCAGGGTCAACACCAACATTCACAACACCATACTACACCACACCTTACCACAAGCTAAAACTTCACGACAATTCATTATTGCAATACGAAAACGAAAATGCCCGACTACCGGTAGATTTGCTCAAACGGGACATCGACGCCATCCCTCATTGCCGTTGTGCCAATTCTTGTACAGTATCATATATTATACTCAAGGTTGCTATCGTCTGATCTGAAGGCAGGAATGGATGTTGTAGCATTGTCTGTGCCCACACGTCTCCCGTCTGAAATCAACATACCGTGCCGGGAAAAGGAATATTTTCAGTGGTAGGATCCGACCTCGGGTGTACGACACAAAACTGAGATACGCTCCGTTTGTGCCAAAATTATATTTCTTTGTTACTCCGTACTTCGAAGCACTGAAATATCCGACAAGAACATGGGCCAAATTGGTCACTTACCAGCCAACCGGACCCGGTTATGACTGAACAAAACAAGACCCTCAACCTTGAAAATAACTGATCAGTTTCGACGACATGACCTTAAACCCTCATCAAAATAAGATATCGGAGCTAAGCTCTGAGTACTGTAGAAATACTTTGTACCAAGTATATAGTTATATGGTTCCTCTGACCAATATACAAAAGCCTCAAACTCACATGCGATTGTTCCTAGTTCTCCGGAGAAGCTCTATCGTATAATGAGGTTCTTATGAGTGCCGAGTATACGTCACAATTCTAGCTTGATCTAAAAGTACGATTCGGGTGTAGAACCTGTCGCGATTTCAATGCGTCGTGAAGAAAAGGTGCGACAAACGTCCTCATTCAGACCGCCAATAATCCCACTTGAAGAATCGTGTCGAGACATGAGTATACCGGTCCGGTACTGGGTCGAAGGATTCTCAGACGACATTCTGTCGTGCAACATTTCTCGGCGGCAGTGTACCAGTATTTGGTATCTCGTTTCATTCGATGATTGTAAATATATTTGTATGGTGGGGGGTACTCGAGTACCGCGATGCTGTGCTCCGTACATATATTTCTTAGCTGGTGTGACTGCCGTCTTCCTCGTCGTCCACTCTTCCACAACAACAGCGTCTGAACTAGAGTGTTTCCAGAAGTTTTCCAAAGTCTTCACCTCGACTTACTCGTAATGATAATCCACTAGAACAGCACTCCACTTGCCAGAGGAAACAATCTTTGTCTAGGAACTTCAGGCTCATGGCAAAGTACACCGCCGAGAAACAACCTCATGGATCTTCGTTGGCGCTGATCTCGCACGTTGAAGTCCACCACCAATCAAAATGGCTGTTTTTGTTTCACGACAAGTCCACTCAGAACGTGTTCGCGGGTTCAATTCAATTCAATACCGGTAGCGCCAATGAGGCAGTGCTGTGGTGCTTCATGCGCTAACCCGCCTATTCCCTATCACCTATCGCCTCTCGCTTGGATTTGACTCCTTTTTCCTTCTCGCCTGAGCCGAAGTCGGTTATTTGGTCAGCCCCTCCTTTTCCGCATCTTCTGGTGATGCGATTCTAGACATCTGCCATCGTCATCTCAAGATATCCAGCGCATTTGGTGGGCGACGGCACTTGCTCAATGGAGATGCATGAAGCCGGTATCCCCTATGCAAGCACGGCAGCAGGGGGAAGCGTGCCTCATCGTCGTTACAGAGCTGCCAAGTGTATCGGGGTCTCAAACAAATTGACCCCTCCCCGACCGTCTCTTACCACCCCATCACCCCCAAATCCACGATCACCAACGCATTTTGGACCAGGCTCAACCCTTCGAGACCTCTGGTAACCTCAAAACAGCGACCCGCTCACGAGTCTTGTCAGAAGGTTCGTTTTGAGAGCCCAGAGATCATGCCTTCACAGAAGTCGGCCCCGGCTGCGAGTGTTTAGCCCCACCCACACATAGTTCATTCATTCTTGGACTACCACTCCACATCGTGACTGCAACTTGATTTCTTGTCCTTTTGTTCGCATTCGCAAACATCCCATCCCATCGTCAAGACCATGCCGGCCGCGACGACGAGGAAACCGAGGATCACAAAGTAGCGAGTGTGATGCATTGATCGATGGCTTGAGGAGCTCTTTTTACACTGATCTCGCCTTGACGGTTGACTTTACTTCATCTCAGCGACTGGCGTCGCCTTTTTCTTACCTTCATTATGTCGAATCCGAACCTGCCGGCAGGCTTTTCTTTTATCACTGTAAAAGGCAAACAATGTACAGCCATTCCAAAAGTTCAAGCCGCCGGGGCAGGAGGCGGAGGAGGAGGAGCTCAACCACCAGCAGCTCAAAATTCGACGAGCGTGGCTTCAACGACGACATCAACAACCTCATCTACGACAGCACCAGCAACAACATCTACACCACCACCTCCTCCCCCACCTCCCCCTCCTCCCGTTGCTATCCCTCCACCTGCAACCTCTCCTCCCGTTGCTATTCCCCCTCCCCCAACCGCAGCTCCACCAGCAATACCACCCCCGACAGCTGTGCCTATCAGTGAGATTCCTCCTACAACATCAGCTCCTCCTCCACCTCCTCCGGCCACAACACCCCCCGCGATAGTGCCTCCTATTACTCCCACGCAAACCCCGATACCTCTTCCTAAAGCGACTCCAAAACCTCCTCCTTCTAAACCAACTCCTGTGCCATCTCCTCCTGTCGTCGTTCCACAGCCTCCGCCATCCAAAACTCCGGCTCCAACAGAATCCCCTGCCCCTCCAGTGGCAGTTCCTCAAAGTGACCCACCCGCTAAACCTACACTACTGGGCTCACTTCCAAAAACTACATTAAGTACCGCGCGAGCAACGAATCCTGCACCAAAAGGAACTTTTCCACCATCTACACCAATACCAGACGCTGCCGCTGGAGGTAAAGGACCGACAGATGGAGGTATTTCGTCAGGTCCCCGGACGGGTGTGGGACCAGTTATAGGTGGTGTTTTTGGCGCGTTCGCCTTATTCGCCTTATTTGCATTTTTGATATTCTTTATAATGAGACGAAGAAGGAAGAGAGATTCTCTCCTCACACCTCTGGGAACAGGAACTCGGGATGAATTTTATAGAGACGAGAAATCAGGAGGACCAATGTCGACGTTTGATAATGACAATGATGAGAAGTGGACTGCACGAGAGAGACTTAAGGCGACAGCAGTCGGTCTTCAAATGGGACTGGTTGGGATTGGGGCGAAATTGAAGAAGACTATGACAAGCAGAAGTGACAGTCTAAGTGTCAACTTGAACCGGGGCAACTCACAATTTTTAGATGGCCCAGTCCCTACACATAGCCGGAATAGCTCTATTTATTCAAACGTCCAAGGGCCTGGCTTCAAAGATAAAGCCACGGAATGGTGGGCCAACTTCAGGAGGCAGCATATGACAATGTTGGCTGAGCCAGAGGATCCCTTTGTGGCTGCTCGATTTGCAAACGAAAGGAAGGCACAACAACTCAGCAATCCTTCACCCGACTTTTCTCAGCTCTTAGGAATGGATGACCGTGAGCTTCAATTGCAAGCTGACCGCCGCAGTGGTACAGGAGCTGAATCCAGGTCCTCACTTCCCTCAATTGGAAGTTTGGGAAGCTTAGGATTGAACTTTAAACCTCTTCAGGATCCATTTGCGGATCCAAAACCCAATATGGGCTACGATTCCCGCTCCAATCCCTTCGCCGACCCCATTTCACCACCCCGACCATCAATCTCAAAACCAAATAACTATGTTACCAATGTACGAAGATCTCGAGGTCTTTCTATCAACAATGACACTGCCGCACCTGCATCCCGCTACCCATCTACATTGGCCCCCAGTCGCGATAGCTACCGCGATACCGTCTTCTCTGCTTTCACGAGCACTACTCGAAGAGGGAAAGGACGATCCGACCCCTTCGACCTCGAACGCCCGGATCTTTGGCGTCGAACAAATAACCCGAACTTTGATGGCCCAGCAGTCACTGGACATTCAAGAGCACCTAGTCTTACTGGGGGCGACGGTATGAATCTCTATCCCGTACCCATCATTCCTCCCAACCAGAACCCAGCGTCGGCCTACACACAACCCTTGGGTGATAGAGTAAAGTCAAACGCTACGTATGAGAGCAAATACAGTAGTGGCGTGGACAGTCTCGATGGCTGGGGTGACCCGGGACCAGATCTTGGACCTGGCAGCGGCGGTAGTAGTTTGAAGAGCAGTGCCACGGCACCAGGAAAGGCCAGGTGAAGACGTCATGGCCAGCGCGAAACAACTTTTTCTTAATTTTGATTATATCAGCACCTCGTTTCAGACTAAGAGGTCATTTTCGATGAGCGAAGAATACGAGGGGGAATGGGTATTCATTTTTGGCAAGAGATAAGAATATGATGATACCCGTACTGCGAATTTAGGATCCGGGGGGGAGGCCCTGGAATCATGGTGATTCTGGGATGCCACGCACTTTAGCCAAAGGCAGGCCGTGCTGTGGTGCAATTGCGAGTTAATAAGGTGTTTTTTTATGGTGCTGACTGTTAACCCACATTCTTTTCTACATGTGTGTATTTTTTACTCTGTTTTATTTATTCTTGTGTGGTATGTCGGATTAGCGTATGGGGATGAAGGTGTGTGTGGCTACACTTTTAACATCTGGTTGGGAATATCACGCTGGGGGTAAGGAAGGACGTCGGATATGATCAAGAAGTTGGAAATATCAAAAGATTTACGTGGAAGGATTATGATACGGCTGATGGTGGAAGGAACCGAAGATAGAGTATATACCATAGTGTCGTTGGACAATGATACGATGAATGAAATATATGAATAACTCAGAAGTACGATCATGCGTTGTAGTATGTATTTTGTTTAGTGTAATGAAACTTTTTAATCATTCTATGTTTCTTGTCTGGTACTTTGTATTGTAACTACTTAATAGTACTTAACGGGAAAGGTCCTTCCCGCTTTCCAATATATGAATTGCCACCTGGCTGTTATTTATTCATTACGGCTAAAAATCGATTTAACAAGTAATGACGAAATATGTTGTGGGGCGAGTGCTCTCGGTTCATGTACGAGCACAGCCGCCTCGCCTCCACTCTGGCCCTAGCATAGTCCATGGAAGGCGCTAACCCTATTCTAGACAGTTCTCGCTAGTCAGACAGCTGGTATCGCCCTTAGCTAGCTTCTCTCTCTCTCTATGTTTACTTTATTCTTAGATTGTTCATTCCTCGTATTGTAATAAAATATTGCAAGTTTGAGTTCTTGGGCTATACGGTAGTCTTGGCTATAATTCGTATTAAATTTAATAAATGGCTTTTTTTAGATTTCGCTGTACAATTGTTTTAGATGTAATTGTTTAGATTAATATAACATTCTTGTGTTTATCTAAGAAGAGGTTGTTGGAAAATATTTTGTAGGGTCATTGGCACAATTGAAATGTTGAACCAGTAAGCGAGACGCTGAGAAAAGGTACATTTTGAACTAAGAGAGGTTTGCCTTAGGTATCAGTACTGTACAGTATTAGATCTGGTCTAAGACTAGCCTGAACTCTCTTTCATCCCAAGTATATTAGAAGCGTTACACTTTCTGCCGTCTGCTACTGGTAGCAAGCTTGGAATTTTGCGTTTATCTCAACTTCGCTTAGTCCAAGCCACATCGTACACGTTCAAGGAGAATCCTCTCTTGTCGTAGGGTTCTAAAGAAATATAACTTGTTATAAAGAATTAAAGCGTCACAAGTACCTCTCAATGGCGAACATTTGAATCATCTCTTTCATCTCTCACGATCAATAAAGATGTCTGTCCAAACAGCCTCAACAATCCCATTCTCCTTGCAAAGAACTCTCCATCAAATAAAGCCCTCAAAAACTCATTCTTTATCCTTGCAGTATCCTATCTCAAGAACAATACCCCAACCAACAAAAAACAAAGCCCCAAATCCATCATCCAAGAAACATAAATAAACCACAACATCCCAACCTATCTCCCTTCTCCAGCAACCCTTGCCTCCCTTCCCTCGCCTTCAACTTCTTCTTGACTTTCACAGCCTTGCAGCTCCAGTCTTTTTTTTGTTACCCCCAGCCTCGATATACATCAAGAATGTATATCCCCACCATCCGTAGCTCCCTCTCCCGTTCGTCCTCGACAGCCGTCGAGACGGCCCACTCCCCCCCGACTTCCGCCATGACGACAACTGCTACCCCCGCAGCGGCAGCCGCAACCGCCCTCTCCGCGGAGGCAAAATACTGGTCTGAACCAGCCAACACCTGGGAAGCGCCATCATGGAGCGAGCCAGCCAACACCTGGACAGAACCGGCATGGAGCGAGCCAGCCAACACCTGGACAGAGCCAGCATGGAGCGAGCCAGCCAACACCTGGACACAACCCGCGTGGACCAGCACCTGGACCTCAGTCCCCACCGCAACTTCTTGGGACCCATCCTGGACGCCATCCTCAACTTCCTGGGCTTCTCCCAAGTCATCCACATCTCCTGACCCCAGTGTCAGTGGTAAGCCAAACGGCCCATTGATCGCTGGGGTTGTCTTCGGTACGCTGGGTGAATATATAGGTTTCTCTGGTATATATATACTTATACATAAAAATACTGGTCATAAATACGTAGGTTCATCTAATTTATTAAGACGTAGAATGAATTACTATTTTAAAGGAGATTTCCCTGCTCTGCAAGCAAGCAAGCAGGTGGTCTTCTCCTTCTCTTCATGATCTTGATTTTGACGAAGGGGAAGATTGTACGATGGTTTCGTCGACGGAATGGGGTGGAGGAGCCACATCATGAGATGCAGCCGCAGCCAACACCGAATCCATATGCGGGACGACAGTATGGGCAACCCGCTATCTAAGGGTAGTTGGTTTGTTCCTCACTGTTTTCTTGCATTAAAGTTTGTGATTGGTTTTTAGTGAGTCTTGTTCTTTTGGGATTTTGCTAATTTTTGGAATTAGGGACAATTCATCATCGAGTCTTTATTGGAGTGCGAGTTTTGTTTTACTCTAGCTGACTGGTTGGCTAACCTTTGCTTTTAGGTACTTGGCATGGCGTTACAATAACCCCCTGATTATTATCATGAATACCCATGACTACACAGGAGTAACCATGAAGTAAGTTTACTTCTTTATCCCCCCTTTGGCTAACAGTTTACAGGCTTAGGTCTAGATATTCACATCCCCTTTTGAAATTAAAACATTTAAATTCTCATTTCATTCCAGTTCAAGTAACAATAAGTATATATCAAGTAAGTCTCTTTCTTTTCCTTTGCTAACATCTGACACAGTCCGTGCCTGAAGTAATATAGATACTTTTAAACCCCAGACACTTCTCCAACTTTCTATGAGCTCTCAAGTACCCCCAAATGACAGACAAGTAAGCCCTTTTCCTTCGCCCTCTCGCTAACAATATGTGTAGACTAAATGCCGGAATTAGAAGATCCACTTTCTAGAATATTGAAACCATCAGTACCTAGCCTACACAATTACCAATCGGTACATATAATGTAAGTCACTCTTCCCCCATCTTTTGCTTAAGTTTAGTAGACCACATCTATATAATCCATATCTACACGACGCCATCTAGAAACGCAAAACTCCCTTTCTAACCAAAATCCACAAGTACTTCTAATTAACCACCAGTAAGTTATCCTCCCTCACTTTTCGCTAACAACGTAAAAATAGTCGAAACCCACCCTTAGATACTACGTAAATACCCTAGAACAAGAATTCAACAACTATATGAACCGCATATATCTATAATGTAAGTTCCCCCCCCTAGCTAACGTTCTATAGGCTCGACTAATATAATAAACTCCCTCTTTATAATTTATCGAACGAACCCAGCGATCTTCCTTAAACTAACTACCCTAGACCCAAGATAGCTAAGTAAGTTCTTCCCCTCCTTCTCTACTAACGCTAAATAGATCTAGCCCTATCCAACAACCCCAAACTCCCTATCTACCCAGATTCCAACGAACCCAGCGATCTTCTCTAAACCAAGCACCCTAGACCCAAAGTATCGAAGTAGTAAATCCCCCCTCCCTCTTCGCTAACGTCCTCTAGACCAAGACCTCCCTACCAGCGTCCCTATCTACAATCTACAAAAAAGCAACAATCCCAGCCCTTCTCGAGATTAAAGCACCGTCAAGTAGCTAAGCAGTAATTCCTCCTCCCTCCTAACATTTAATAGACCAGCCGGACCTACAATTACACCGCCCCTCCCCCCAATCCACAGAAAACGAAGCGAAGCGAATTATCTCCCCGAACGGAACATCCAAGTACTTAATTCATTTACTAGTAAGTTCTCTCCCCTCCCTTCTAACATTTCCAGACCTACAGGACCTACCTACCTCGCCCCCGCTATCCATAAAAACACACAAACGAAGCGCACCTCCTCGGAGTACCCAAGCACCAAAGCCAACTACAAAGTAAGTTCCCCCTCCCTCTCCACTAACATACATCTTCCGATCGGACACATCTCAACATCGACACCCGCGATCCACGGAACACACCTCGCTCCCCCGGTATCCAAGTCCCCACAGCGTCTTCCGTCCCATTTATTTCTCACTTTCCAACAGTGTAAGTTATACAAATTTACATACACAACAAGCCTTAGGGGGTGTTTGGCTACGCAAATCTCTCCATGCAAAACAGGTGCAAAAGTCTAAGATTTGCACGGGCTGGAGGACCCCAAGGGCTCATCCAAAAGTTTCCTGAATTGCATGCAAATTAGACTATTCTCAAGAAAAAAATGCACCACTGTTTGGCTGTTGCAAGAGTTTTTTATTTCAGGTGCAAATCTTATATATCTGTAATCCCCGCCCACCCCCGCCTATCCCTTATATTATTACTCCCGTACCTACGGTCCTATAGTATCCCTCCTACAATTTCACTATACCCCCCCACCCCCCTCTCCCTAGCCGCTCTTTTTGCTCCTACGCTTTACGACTATAAATTAGCCGAGTTTTGCTTTGTGTTAGTAAAGGGGGATGTTATAGGGGGATATCGGAATACTGTCGGAGGGATACTGTAGGGAGGATACTATAGAGGGGGGCCACTATAGGGGGACACTACAGGGGACACTATAGGAGAATAGAAAGATTTGCACGGAGATTTGTGCAAATCAAAAAGAACTGAAGGGTTAAGGCTTCAGTTCTTTTATAAAGTTTTTTTGGTGGTGCAAATCTAAAAAGATTTGCAATTAGATTTGTAACGGATTTATAATTATTTTAGTAAAAACTTTTGCGGCTATCCAAACAAGCGTGCATATTAAGAATTGCATGAAAATCTTAATTAAAAACATATGCATGCAATTCTTTTTATATGGTGCAAATCTCTAAATTGCACGAGCCAAACACCCCCTTAGTCCATATATAGCACGCTCCATTTCGATCCGACCCGACCCGAACCGATATCATCCTATCCCATCAAAAGAACCAAGAAAGTTAACTCTTGTTAAGATCACCACCCAGCGAGTCTTACCTTCCTTCCATACGACCAGGAACCTGAACCCCACGATGTAAATGGTAAAAAACATAGAACATACTTATACAAGCAGGAAACCCGAAGATCTAATATCTAACATCCAGGAAATAACACCATTTCTTTATTAATTCGACTTATATATAAATAAAGTCGCGAACTAAGAAACACGATTATCTTATAAGTTATTAATAAAACAAGAAAGAAGATAAAAATGTAAAGTTAGATGAGGGAATAAGGGAGTGAACCTAAGATATATTATAGACCTAGAAGTTAAAAGATAGAAATAGAATACTTGTACAGATTAAAAAACATAGTAAATAGAAAGAAAGAAAGAAAGAAAGAAAGAAAGAAAGAAATACAACAGCATTACCCTGAAATGAAATCTAATTCCCTACTGTGAACCACTTACCTAATCTTACAAATTACCCAGAAAACACTCCTATACGGGTAAAAAATCTGACAGCTCGTTGAGAGAAAGAAAGAAAGAAATATAACAAGCTTCACAGCTAAGAAAGCAAACTCAATCTGACCACCAACATAGGCCCTACTACAGATTCACATCCCAAAACCATATCTATATTAATGTAAGCATAAGCACCATATCTCCACTCTCAAAACTGCATCTCACTCACTCAACCCTCACCGCCGAGTCTAGAACAAAACGGCGGAGCCAAGACCTTAACGAAGTCATCCGTCATACAGAACCAAACTCACCAACTGCATATAGAAGATATTCCCATTCCTCCTGCCACTCAAAGCATCAGGTTATCTATGCAAAAATAATCTGGTGGTGATGTAACGATCCAGTTGGCTTACTCTAGCAAGATCTTTTGTCATTACGTACCGAATTCCCAGGAAGGATGAGTATGTAATCGCCAACCTCGGACTCGGGACAGTGTCGCCGAGTGAGGTCGGGAAATGGGATTGGGGTCCGAATATGACCATTTGCGACTGTTGATATGCAAAACACCTATGTCAACGCCTGATAATTTGGATTGCGAAATCTCCCTAAGATGGAATTACCAGTAAGACCGTATTTCGTTTTCCCTTGGAGATATTTCGGTTGCCAGAATTATAAAAGGTGCGAAAAGATGAGCGTAGAAGTATTGTTCATGTCCCCAGACAAAGACCCTCGAAGGTCAAGCCAGGAACACGATATCGATCTTTTCGCACCCGAATAATGATCCTAGGCACGGACGAGTCTCCGCACGACGATGAACAATTTGGCTTTATGATTGGCTAATCGAGTACACTAGGCAGCGTAAAAGGATTTTAGGAGACTCAAGTGGAGCAGTTTTACTGCTCCCTGGTGACTCTTAAATTAGCTTCTGGGAGAGCTTTTCATGGTGGAATACCTAGCTAGGAAGGTCCCAAAATCATACCACACCAGAATCTTTTCTCGCATTTGAATCTTTAGCGACCATGATATTATAGGGCTTACGTGAAGGCGGAGCAAGATTAAGCATAAACTTGAAAATGGACAAACAGGTTTGACTTGTCTCGTGGGAGCTATTTTTATTTACTGACGGTTCTCCAGCCCAGTGGTAAGGCTGAGGGAGGCTTGATACCTCAATAGCGGAGTTCTGTACTGAAACGGCGAGAAAACGATAAAGTGGTTGCCCTACGATTTAAGCCACAGGTGGCACGCTGAATTGGAAAGACGAATGGGGATAACTGGTGACAAAAAGAACCTCAGATGCAATTAACCGGTTGCGGGGAAGTCCACTTTTGGAAAGATATAGCCACAGCCCCGGTGGATACTATGAAATCAGATCTCTGAGAAATCTGTTCGTTCGTTCTAATGCAAACGAGGTGGGTCCATGCTCATAAGCGAAGGCTTTTTGATCCTTCGGTTTTTGTTGCCGACCTATATGCTAGATGTGATGGCAGTAGAGCATCTGCCATGTGGCTTTATCTGATGGCTGTGAAGGTCGGCGAGGCCTCCATTGGTCTTCATGGTCGGGGCAAGAACTGGAAGAGAGAAAATGTAGTATGCGTGGAGAAAATTATAGTAAAAAGGCAAAAGTGGCTTTTGGCACTTCATCTATGGTGGTTGCCAGTTTGACCGTTGTCAAGAAGCTTCCGATTCGATACACAAGGATCTGTGTAGGTGCAAGAGGGCGCATTCCGCGGTGTGTCAATCATCTCAGATTTGTTTGAGCCCTATATGAATGTTCTTCGTGGTTGTCGTGCCGGAAGAAGCTAGAGGTTACTGGCAAAATAACTGCTGGGGCAGGGTCATATCGCCAAGTCCTGCAAGAAAGGCAGGGAATCTCAGGTGGCTGCAGGAAATTGATTTCTGTTGGCGATGTGATAGGGCAGCTTCAACATCTACGCAAGCCATGAATCGCTGAATGAAGAAGTAGTTCGGCCCATCCGTCAACTTTATATGTTTCTGCCGGTATTGAGTTGCAGTATGCAGAGTTGCTACCAACGCGACGGTCTTTTTTGAACGATCCTCGTTTGCCAATGGGTTTTCGTATCTCGAGCAAATTATCTGGACGGTTGTTGCAACACTAGCATTTCCCGTTGAGCCTATGATAAATTCTCCACTGCGGTACTACGCACAAAAGCCAAAGTCCACATTGTCGACGGGACCTCCGATAGATGCAAGGCGTGTATGTACATGGCGATTGGGACTGGCAAGAAGATGGTGGAGCTTTGTGAGGCAGCACATTCATGATACATCTTGTCTCATGTCGCTCGCTAGTCGTACGACATTCTGCAGAAAGGCCTTCGTTCCCGCAAAGACAACAGTGGCCGAGGTCTTTGGTGGCGTTGGAATAGTTTTACCGTCCCAGGCGAGACCGAGGTATCGAGGAAGTAGCCATATTGATGTTGTACAGTACACCCCTTTGAAGTGGTGTAGCGTCTACCCACATTGTTCATTCTGATGCACATAGCCGCTGGTAGATTGATGGAGGCAATGATCGTAGTTACCAAGAAGCATTGGCTGGGCAATTATCTTTTCCTGAACGATCACTGGTCTCGGCCTGAGCTGGACTCAGGTACTCCGGGATGAAGATGCACGTAACTGGACATGCAGATGCAGCACGGCCTCCGAGGGAAAGCTACTCCAACACGGCGCCTCCAATGCATAGTGGTGGGTGGTGGGTGGTGGGTGACAATGCCTCTGGCGTCAAGATCACCAAGATGTAAATAACATTTGGCGATGGGATGGTTGCACAGTGGGGTTTGCTGCGGTGATACGAGTACTCCGTATTGAGAGTGTATGCTTTTGGTGTTGGTGTTGTCAATTTCTCGCAGGGTTGTCCAGCAAGTCCAGCCGACTCAACCGAGAGGGGGGGGTCCGCCCAAGGATTGTCCAAGAGGATCACCTAATCAGCGCTAACGTGGTCCCCCGCATATCAACACCCACACCCACACCCATCCATGCCACATCTCTCTCTACACCACTCAAGTACTCGACTGTACATACGATAGACGGACAGACAGACAACCTACAGCCTCACACCGCAGACCCTCCACCTCCACCTCCCACTAGCACCGCCAAAACCACTCCCTTCACCTCCACCTCCCACCGCATCGCTCCACCCACCAAAAGCTTCTCTCAACCACGGCCTCAATTGCCATTCACGGCCTTGGTGAAAGACTCCACGCGCAGACCTGTGTAGCAGCCTCGACCTCCCTCTTCCTCTTCCCGAAAAGTCCGCGCCCGCCCCACTGCCACCGCCTTCTTACCCACACCTTCCTGCTTACTACCCATTCTACAACGCTCGCAATCACCACCGAGAGCTATTAAACCATCTGAGATTCGGTCCTTACCCGGTCCTGGTTCTTGCGCAACGAAGATCTTCTGCTGCCATCCGACAGACTCTTGATTTCGTCATTCCGTTTCTGGCCCACGTTTTTCCAACACCAACATTTTGAGGCAAAGCTCGAGCTATAAGACTCGATACGCCCCGGCCTCAGAATTGAAAAGAGAGGATCCATTCTTAGGATCAGAAGTAAGACATCACTCTCAGCTCACACTTCAAGACCTACTACTCGGTTTGGAAGTAAACAGATAGCAAGCAAATCAAACCTGATATCACTTTCCTCGAAGCCATCAAAACATAGATATGTCGGGCTATCCTGGACAACATTATAATGGAGGTTATGGAGCGCCGCCGCCTCAGCAGCAGTACCCACCCCAGCCAAACTACTACCCGTAGGAATCGATGGCTCTTCTGTTTTGTAGTCTAAACTAACATAAAGGTAGTCCTCAGCAAAATTACGGGCCTCAAGGTCAAGGTGGCTACTACCAACAACCACCGCCGCAACAACCACAATATGGATACAATCAGCCCCCTCCACAGCAATATGGTGGCTATAACGGAGCCCCGCCAGGCCAATATGCAGGTTAGTTAAAGGGTGGCGCATAATTTGCGGGAGAAACTGCTAACATACCTCGAGGAATGCCTTCGGCAAACTCAAACAGCTATGTTAATGGCAATCACAATGCTCCGCCACCTCCCCCCTCCGGCATGCAAAACTTTGGCAGCGGCGCACCTCAGGGATATGCTTTCCAATACTCGAATTGTACGGGACGACGAAAGGCACTTTTGATTGGTATAAATTATTTTGGTCAAAGAGGACAGTTGCGAGGATGTATCAACGACGTCAAGAATATGTCCGCCTTCTTGAACGAAAACTTTGGCTATAATCGTGATGATATGGTCTGTCTCACAGATGACCAACAAAACCCCATGAGCCAACCAACGAAGCAAAACATTCTTAGAGCGATGCATTGGTTGGTGAGAGAGGCTCGTCCCAACGATTCTCTATTTTTCCATTATTCTGGTAGGTCATAAATATACGACGCGAAAATCCCGATTGGCTGACATTGATTCTCAGGTCATGGTGGTCAAACCAAAGATCTTGATGGGGACGAAGAAGATGGCTATGATGAAGTCATATACCCAGTAGATTTCAGACAAGTCGGGCATATTGTTGATGATGAGATGCACCGAATCATGGTCACTCCATTACAGCCAGGCGTCCGACTTACAGCGATTTTTGATTCCTGCCATTCTGGAACCGCGTTGGATCTTCCATACATCTACTCCACACAGGGTGTCCTCAAGGAGCCCAATCTTGCAAAGGAAGCAGGACAAGGTCTCCTCGGTGTTATTTCGTCTTATAGTCAAGGCGATCTTGGTGGTGTGGCCAGCAACTTGATGGGCTTCTTCAAGAAAGCTACCACCGGTGACGATGCATATAACAAGACCATGGCTACTAAGACATCTCCAGCCGATGTTATCATGTGGTCAGGAAGTAAAGATGACCAAACTTCGTTAGTATACCCTTTCATCAATTATTCCTCCTTTCCACGGTATTTTGTATAAATTACAGGCGTGGTTTAGTGGTATGCATTGCATTGGATACGGCAAAAGTGTTTGTTTAGGATTGCCCCGAGCATAGCGTTGGTGTTGGGATACCACTAGAGCCACTGGACTGGACTCTGGCTGGTTTTTGTAAATTATATGTAGCTTACTCTTTTTTTTTAACTTTTTGCTCTAATTCTATACCACTGCCATTCTACGGCTGTTATATAGAGTTAGAGCCGCGAGTCACGTTGGAACTAGCGGTCCATGATATTGCATTATCACTAGTATACAACCTCCAACACATTTTGCTAACATCACTCCGCAGGGCCGATGCCACTATTGCCGCCAAAGCTACAGGAGCTATGTCTTGGGCATTTATTACCGCCATGAAGAAGAACCCTCAACAGAGCTATGTCCAGTTACTTAATAGCATTCGAGATGAGCTTGCGACCAAGTACTCACAGAAGCCTCAGTTGAGCTCTAGTCATCCTTTGGGTAAGTTCTTTCAACGTTCCTGTAGGCTCTGATGTATACTAACGAATCTTTTTAGATACTAATATTCTTTTCATGATGTAAATAAGTCTATTTTGGGGGTTTCGGCGTTATTTTGTGGGATAGGGTATTGCAAAAGGGAGGGCATTTGTCGAGAGAAAAATCATAGGATGGGAAGATTGTATGGGGCAGTGTTGTAGGGGAAAGGGAGATGGAAGCGGAAAGGAAGGGGGGACAGAACGCATCAATATATTGGCTTCATTGTTCATTTGGAGGAGGGTAGTCATGTGTACTGAGAGCATCTTTTTTTTTTCATGAGAATGAGAATGAGAATTTATGGGTAGATGGATTTTATGTATGGTGTTTGGATGGATGCCTTTCCTGGGGTTGGGCTTGGGCTTGGACTTGATGTTCTTAAATGGGATGGTAGACCGTGAATCGATGGATTTCTTTCTGGGGGTTGCAAGTCACCTCTTCTACGTATCCGTTCGTGAATGTATCCTGATCGCCACTACTGTGAGTGATTGCTGTTGATGGGTGATTGGTAATTGGATATCTACCACCCCTGCTAAGATGCTTTCTTTTGAGTTTGAAATCTTGTTGTTGGCTTGTGATTTGTTGGTTGGTTAGTTAGAGTAATGCGCGGTGATAGTTGGGAGGGATCTGTATTTTGTATTTGTATTTGTCTTTATATTTGCTCTACCTACCAATCTTCGTAACGTGAATGAAGTTATACTCGTAAGTGGTACTGTATACGAGAAGATAGATAATTAGGTAAGTGGGGTAGGGATAAAGAGTGGAAGGGTAAGGGAAGAAAGGTATAGTAAGTCTAAGAAGTACATACTGTCTGTATGCTACTAGAGATACGTTACAAGCTACTACATAATATAAGAAACGATTACGGAGGTACTCGAGTAGGAGAAACTTAGAAAATGGTAAGTAATAAGTAGGTGGGTTTCAAACAACTTGGTAAAGAGTGTGGGAGGAAAGGGAAGGGAGGAAAGAATTGGAATGTTGTATTCTTTCTAGTACTATATCTTGATTATTCTTTTAATGCTTGTATAGTACATTCTTGTACCTTTATTCCTGGGGCATAAATCCTAGATCCTGATTCTTAGGTTTTAATTCGTAAAGTAACGTAAAGTAAAGTGAGGTAAAGTGAAGTAAAGTCAAGTAAAGTAAAGTGAAGTAAAGTGAAGTAAAGTGAAGTAGAGTGAAGTAAATTAAGTACATCTTTTAATATACGAGCAGTTAATTTCAATAAGATAGATAGATCTTACCTACTTTTTTATGTACTAACTATAGAGATACACTCTGAAATCCCGATACGATACGAGTAATCATTAAATAATACAACACTTCGCTTCTTTTTCCAACCTTGTTTAAGGGAAAGGTATAATTTTCTGTTTTTTTTCCCCTTTTCTATTTCGTCTTCGTGCACTACGATATGACGATGCTTATCTGACCGACTCCTCTATGTACACTCCTGTAATACAATCGCCGCCCCAAAACTACCAATCTACCTCCTACAATCCCTCTCTCTATCATCCCTCCGTCTATACCCCCCATCCCTCTCACCCCTTCTATCCCTATCCCTATCATCCCTCCTATCTCTTTCCCTCTCCCTCTCCCTCTCATCCCTCCCACCCCCTTCCCTCCTACGTTCCCTATCCTCCCTCTCCCGCCGATACTCCCCCATTCCCTTCTTCTCCTCCCTCCTATTCCTCTTATCACCCCCCGTCTTGAGCCTCTTAACATCACTCTTCTGCACCCAAGCCCCCAATTCCTCCGCATCCTTCAACTCCTTCGCGCCTAGTCCTAGTAAATTCTGCCGTCTCTTCACATCCCTCACCTTCCCCACATTCTCCCCCTTCCAGCCCATGCCCCTCAAGAGCGCAGCACCAAATTCCTCAACGGGGACGCGCGTGTAGTCTTCGAGGGTAGATGGTTCGGGCGCAGCGGCTATGGCGCGACGGTAGGCGTCTTGCTCAGAGATCTTTCCGGGGACGGGGTCTGTGGTAGTGGTGATGGGAATTACCAGATCCGGGCCTTTATGTTCTGGTTTTTGGCCGAGGAGAGCTGCGAGGGCTTCTTGGTCTGCTGTCTGTGGTTCTCGTTCTTGCTGTGGTTCTTTTTCGTCCTTATCTCTTTGCGCTTCTTCCTCGCCCTCAGCATCCTCAACCCTCTCCCTCTTCCTCAGACTCAACCCCCACTTGATCTCCCCATCCTGACTATTCACACAATCCACGCCCTCAATCTTCCTCGCCTCTCCAGCTCCCCTAGCTTTCGCCTCCCTCTCCCTCACAACCTCAGGCGGCAACAAATTCCTCCCATTCACCCTCCTAACATCCGCCCTCCAATCCCGATTCGGCATCTTAGGAATAACCAACACCTCCCTCTCCCTCCTCTTCCTCTCCTCATCCGCTTTGGAGATCGCGCCATCCTCGCCGAATCCTGTGACTACCTCGTGTTTACCCCTTCTCCTACTATCTCCATCTCGAGAGTCGTCTGAGTCGCTGCCAGAGTCGTGGTTGAAGGTGGATCGCGGTCTCTTCCCTAAAGAGCTGTTGAATGTAGGTTTCGACGACGCGCCAGATTTTGACACCGAGGAAGGCTTATTGGTGGAAGCAGCTTTCGAGGACAACGAGAAGCCTTTGATCGCTATTTTAGGTGTGGAAGATCCTGATGCAGGGTCGTCTTTCGAGGGTGACATTTCTTTCTCTCTCCCTCTCTCCGTATGCTAGGTATAAATAGTGATGTAGATATGACGGACGTATGCGGGAATGGGTGCGCTCGTTATGATGAGTTTGCGCAGGAAAGTCGGGGTTTGCTAGTTACGTTTGTGGTTTGCGATCAGATCCAAGTCAAGTCAACATTTACTCCCAGTCGCGCAGAAAGTTACATCACTCAACCCTCGTTTCTAAGGCCAAAAGAAAGGGTCCTGTCCACGTGACAGCTACCGCTGAAAATGTTCATGGAAGTGGTGAATTTGAATTTATATTTGTATTTACACTCTCTCATTTCATCATACACAAGTCGGTTCTTCTCATTCAAGTTTCCTTTGCTTCGCTTTGAACTGCTCCACTTTCAAAAGAAGACGAACGGGGAGGGATTATTATATACGCCCCATTCACCTTCTATCCCGTCCATTTCATCTCATCTGCATTCCCATTTCATAGGATGCAGAATACCTGTATCAGGATCTCAATACCCTCCAATACACAACACTTAGACAGTATTTCCTCGAGAAAAGACATTTCTCGTAAGAGTGAAAAAAAAAAGATCTACTCTAACTGTAGGTAGGTTTCCCACCCATCCCATCCCAACCCACAACCACCAATGGTGATTGATCAGATAAAATCCACCCTAACACCAAAAAACTCCACGCCTTTTCACAAAAAATGAAGAAGCATAGCATGCCGAACCCCCACCTGCTTATAAAAGACGAGACAACAACCCAAACACACCAACGCACACCCCCACGTTACTTGGAGCTTTGCACACTGCCCGAGCTATTCCTATGCGCATGACCCTGAGCTTGTTGACCATTATTATTCGGACCACCAGCTCCATTTTGGTTGCTCGCAACGGCAGCAGCAGCTGCTTGTCTAGCCTGCTCCACTTTCTGGAGATTCTCTTGTTGCTGCCTCTCCTGCTGTTGCTGTTGTTGCTGTCTCAGCATCTGCGCATACAACTGTGGACTACTTTCAACCCCCGGAGGCACCCGATGAGCTTGAGCATTCATCCCACCCAAGGCCCCAGACGTATTTGGTAATCCTCCGGCAGCGGCATTCATTGCGTTTTGAGCCATCCCGGACCCCGGCATAACGTTCTTCATCTGTTGCTGCATTTGTGCCTGTATCATGTTCCTAATTGTTTCTGGAGTCGCTTGAGGATACTTTTTCTTCAGAACAGCCTCCATCTGTCCAACATAAGTATGTAACCCATCTTTTGGCGACGAGTGTTGAGTCGGTTGACCCATTCTAGGTGATCCAGCTTGCCCATGTTGTTGACCAGGCGAAGGCACCATACCATTTACCGGAGGAGAGACTGCTGGAACACGATTTTCGTTGCCATTGAAAGCCATCATATTTTGCACGGCAAATCCAGGTTGAGGCATACCGTTTGTTCTTGGCGGGGAATTTTGCAATTGAGGTGATTGAAGAGGAGGCTTCCCTTGCTGTTGCATCTGAATCATGGCACGTTGTTGTTCTGCAGTCTGGGCAGCTTGATTGATCAATCCTACACTTACGGCTGGGTTTGGCATTGGAAGTTGGCCTTGCATCGCTTGCATGGGAGCTTGAGGAACACCGTTTATAGGAACTTGAGGCACGCGGAGACTATTTTGCATTTGTTGACCCATCTGCTGACTCATTTGCTGAGCCATTTGCGGTGGCATTGGGCGAGGAATTCTATTTTGTTGACCTGGGACTGCAAGGTTTTGGCCGTTTTGAGCGGGTGGTCCATTCGGTGGCTGTGATCCAGGAGGTCGAGCCTGGGGCCCTCCATTTAGAGGACCACCTTGCTGGGCAACTCTGTTTTGTTGCTGCTGCAGAGCGGCGGCCTAAAAAATTAGCTAATGTAAATAGAGAAGAGAAAGAAAACTAAGGAATATGGAATGTGATAGATGGCAAAGAGGTAAGATATATCATACTCTTTGCTGTTGAATCGCCCGCTGCTGCATCTGTGCAAGCCGCTCCCTGATTTGTTCATCGCGATCATGCTTGAGGCGACTAAACTCCTGTGGAGTGTGTACGTTCCGTGCTTGTGCAGGTTGTTGATTCTCGTTGGCTTTGCGAAGAGCAGCCATACCAGCAGCCTGGGTCTGTTTCTGTAAGCTTGTCTCACGTTTCTTAGCCAGCTTTGACATTGAGTTGACCATGTTGAGATGTTTTGAATTCCGGCGACGTTCAACCCGTACACTAGCCGTAATTCTCCTCCTTGGGGGTTGTGGTTGCATTTGTCCATTGGCCATCGGTTGGGGTTGGACAGCAGACTGAGCTTGCAATACTGCCCTGTTGGCAGCCTCAATACGACTGTTGTATGCTCTGAAGTAATGTGTCTTTTGCATATCTGTAGGTAGCCCTTCAAGCTGAACCCAGCGTTCGAAGCACTCCCAAGGTGAACGGCGTTCTGCCCCAGAAGAGAACAGGGATTTGGAAGACAGCATACTGGCGATAAGGGACCAATTATAAGAGTATTCTCGAACCAGACTTTTGAGTTCGTTGTCCTCCTCGTATGTCCACTGCGAAGGGGCCCGACTCTCAAAGAAGCTTTGTAGTGGCATCGGGAATTCTGTGGGTGGACGAAATTGATGTGAAGAATGTATGCGGTCGCGAATGTGCTTATGTTGCGGATCAAATAAAGCAACATCAGACTTTTCTGGCGGAGCAACAGGTCTTTTTTGATCTGGGTCCCCAAAGACAACCTCATCCTCGTCATCTTCTTCATCTTCATATTGGTAACGACTCTTTTTCCGAGGTGGCCCGCCTAATTTGAGCTCCATCCTGCCCTCAACAAACTTGCTTATAGGCAGAGCAGGTCTCCTCCACATACGATCAGGATCAATTTCTGAGGTCAGTATATCTGACTGTGGAACACTCAATGGCGCCCCATACATGGGCAATTCATTGAGCAATTTATCAGCAGTAGGTGATCTTCGTAATGGAAAAACAACGTCATCATCCTGGAGAGCGAATATGGCAGTAGGGGCAACGGTATCCATCAAATTCAAGCGAGGTTCCTCATCAAAATCATCCATAGGAGAATCAAACTCCCCGGAAGCAACAAGGTCGGGAGTGAGATGTGGGATGTCCTGGGGGTCCGACATTGATGCATCATTTCTAGATTCCTGCGCAGGTTTGGGCGGTGGCGTAGCTTTCACCTGTAGTAATTTTCGATCCTCTGGACCAGCCTCTAGCCATTCCGCGCATGCAAATGCTAAATTTCTAGCCACGGTCATTTTCCATTTCTTTTCCTCTCTGAAGTCGGTGCGCATCCATTTTACTTCCTGGAGCAGAACGTCCCAGTGTGTGGTGGGTCTGTTGGGTTCAACAGCGCGTTTTGGTTGCCTCAACGACCATTTATTTGCCGACTGCAGTCCATATATTCTCTTCAAGACCTTGCTTGTTTGACTTTCCTGAATGGGTAAAAATGCATTTGCAGTGGTAATCGTCTTATGAGCCGTGGCCAGCAGACTATCTAGAGCTGGAATACCTCTCTTGTCAGATGTTGCTGAAGCGACGAAAAGTGGCATCAGATAGTCGTCCTGAGGCCGGATTACCTGGTTACCAGTTGTTGTCAGAGCAGTTTCATTCGACTTTGGCTTATTGGCACGCCGAGAAAAGGTGACCGTAGAAAGCTTGCTTCGCTCTCTCTCTTTTGCCTTTTCCACCAAGCTGCGTATGCGGGTCCCAGGAGATTGAGGAGTTGAGCTTCGTGATGGTGAAGTTGAATTTTCAGTCGACCGTGAATCAGTTGCGATTCTTGCAGGAATTCTATCTGAATTGTGATTGGCATTAGGTCGTGGAATTTCTCCAAGGATTTCAGAGACGGATTTATGTCGCATCGTGCCAGAGGTAATCCTAGTGGTCATACGTTCTGTCACTGGGGGTGCTATGGCTGTAGCAGGAGGAGGAGCTGATTGAGCTGGCGTGGATAATGTGGGGGTGGTAGAAGACCTTTTAGAATCGATTGTTGCATTTGGAAGAGCTTCAACTGGCGCGGAAGTGGCTGGCGATGGAACAGTATCTCGAATGGTTGCACCACTACTCTCACTTTCGAATGAATCCTTGACTGTCGGTTTTTCGATAGCCTCAACCGGGGTTCCTTCGTTCTCCGAATCAGGTACCTCACGCTTGCGGGGTTCAACTCCATTAACAGTCGCTCCGTTGGGCTGCTCCGTACCAGACATTTCGATATCCCCTGAAGTTCTAGCATGTACTGCAGCGTTCATATCCTCGACAATATCGCGCACAACCTCACTGGCCTCCTTGGTCAGTCGTTTAGTCGCTTCTTCCTCCCTTTCAGCAACAGTGATTTCCGAGTCTCTATTAGAATGGCTTCGATCATCCACCACGATCGTATTTAAGGATGCAGACTCCTCCATCCGTAATTGTTTATCAGGTGCCGGTGGACTGCTCCCGAGAATTTCCTCGCGTGCTATTTCTATTCGTGCCTCAAGAATTCGATCATGTTCTTCCTTCTCTGCCACTTGTTGTGGAGTTGGACGTAATTCTGGAGGTGTCTGGGCATCCTTCTCGATGGTTCCTGGATCGTACATAGAATTTTGATTATCTGGGCTAGTGTCTGTGGAAGTCTCGTGCAGGGCAGAAGTGGTAGCTGAATGAGCGCCATTCGTAGACCCAGGAGAAGAAGCAGGTTCGGTAGTGTGACCTCCATCTCGAGGTAGGTTGATAGCAAGACTCGAAGCTTCCTTTGCCTTTCCCTTCTCCTCCTGTGCCTGCTTTACATCCCTGAGATGTTTCTCTTGGACTTCTTTCGAAGGAAGATGCACTGTGGTAGCTTTGTGATGTACGTCATGCGAACCTAGGCCGTCAACGAGCGGTTCGGATAGTTGTGCAGCATCCTCAGCCAGTATTGGCATCGCCTTTCGTGGATCTACCCCAGGGCTGTTTGATCTACTTTCCAATACGGATCTAATCCGCTCAGCCTCGGATTCTTTTGGTGGAATGGATGTATCGGGTATATGAGGTGATGGTTTCGTTGCCCGTTGGAATGTTTCCTCTATAATCTCTCCCAGAATAACTGCGGATTCTGCTGGTAAGTCGGTCTGCGAGCTCTTCGAAGCCGACCTCTCCATCGGAATCCCCTTTTCTTTGGACTCTATTCCATTCTCAACAACAGATGGCGGCCTACCATCACTCTTCGCATCTGGGGTCGTGGCCCTGCTCTTTCTCGGCTTGGAACCATCGCGCTGGGGTTTCGCTTTGCGGGCAGTGTCCTTCGTGCGAGTCTCTGGGCTAGGCTTCCGAATGAGAGTTCTTTGTTTCGCTGTTTCGGAGCGTAGCTGTCGACGCGTGGGAAGTTTGGATTCGTCGAAAAGTCGATCTCTAGAATACCCGTTAATAAAACCACGGCATTTATAACCCAGCCCTCCGTCTCCATATAATTCTGTGGTGGTGCAGGTGGTGATGGCACGTACTTTAGGATGTCGGTGACATCGAGAAATCGATCTTCGGCAGCACTGGTGGGCGGCGCGTTGGGGCTCGAGTAGGTGGTTTGGGGTACGGGGCCTTCATTGTCGCAAACGGCAAATAACTCGCGGAGCTTCCTCTCGCGCGAGGTAACAATTCCACTACAACCATCAGCACACTGAAAATCAGATGCATCGATGCGCCTCGCCATGCGCTTTCGACCATGCCCATGGGGGAATTAATGTACCTGAGTTCGTTGCGTTTGGATCGCAAAAGGCGGGAGCGGTCGGCAGGCCCAACCTCACTCATAATAAAGCGACCGCGACATCCGTTTTGCGAGAAAACGGATGCGTAGCCAGGGTTAATGAGGGCGCTGGAGATGGTGGAGATGCTCAGATTGATGGAAAGTCGTGGTGTTGTGGTGCAGTGATTGATTTGGGCTTTTGGCTCCGGCGTGCAGTCGATCTCATATGGTGCTGTGGCTCTCGCTCTCCATACACGCCCGCCTGTGGGTGGAAAGAGGTCGGCGTAGTTTCGGCTGTTTTGGGCTTAGCGCCAGTTTTCCGCTGAGCGAGAGGGAACATTTAGGGGGACCAGGTTGGGCTTCAGATTGTCATTCTTGCATTTTGATATCCATCAAAAGATTCACTTTTGCGATGAGTGCGGTGGGAGATATATGGAAGGCAGATGTGCGTACAATCTGTGTTTGTTGTTTCATTCTCCCGAACTTGCACGACATCTGGCCATTATAGCGAGTAATGGGGGCAATCCCCCTTTTCCGTGTGGTGTGCTCATGAGTCAACCATCACCATCACCACTAAATTCCGATACCATCATCTAACTATAGGAATAATGCCATACGACCACTACCACTAGCTCAAAACTCAAGTCCAATTCCAGTTTCGAGTTTCAATTACTATGACTATGCTATCACATCAACTACCACCACACAACCAGCTTATCTCCAGGCTGCCTGTCCTACACTACACTACGTAAACACACTATCAGCCGTCCAGCGTGGATTTTCTACCAATGAGAAAGCCATCTATCGAGGTGGTCACCACTAGTTAATCTCGCAAGGAACTTGCTTTCCAACAAACTTTTCTAAAATTAACCTAAAGTCTAGCTTTTTCCATACCCAAAACTCTAGGTTGGTCCTAGATTGTAGCTCGTCGCTCAAGCCCACAGCCGAACTGTGCTTCACATCCAAAGTGTATAAACCAGTATCAAAAGAGCAGAGTGGTATCGTACTATCATTTCATTAATTACCTATGTACGGCCAAACCCTCCATCCAGTACACAAGAAGTCGTAAGAAAAACAAAATAAGAGGGTATCAAAAAATGACCGTACAGAAAACACCCATTCCCGATCCTAGTTCCTCCCGCATTCCCTCTTCCCAAAGCCATCCAACCTTACCCTCAACCATCATATAAATACATGGGAGATACTTTTCCATTGCCTCGTGACAACTACAATCTCTGAACTGAGTCGACGAAAAAACGAACGCGCCAAAAGGATTGATATGCGCTTTCAAGTAGACCAAGCTACACAACAAAACAAATCATCAGTATTTGCACAGCTTAGATAGTCTCGACGACACGGGAGTTGATAGCTTGTTGGAAACCGGAGCCATTACCTCCAAAATCATTATCGGAGTATTTGGACGATTGTCCAGCATTCTGGTTAGCTCCCTCGCCAACTTGATCCGCTAGCGCCATCGAAGCGGCGATATTAGGGGCCCCTGGCAAAAAGATAACCTTGCTGTTGGCGGATTTTGCCATAGCTTGCATGGCCTCGAGATATCTAATTTGCATGGCTGGTGCACTGGACAGAATGTCGGCAGCTTGTCGCATGAGTTTCGCGGATTCGACCTCGGCACGAGCAGCAATGACTTTAGACTCTCCGATACGTTTGGATTGAGCGGCCATGGAGAGAGAGTCTTGGAGCTCATTACTGAAGATAATATCTTTTATCAACATGGACTCCACTTTGACTCCCTATCCAGCGGCTACATCCTCGATGATCTCTCCGATGGATTGAGCTACCTCCTCACGACGTTCGATGACATCTTGAAGAACTCGGGCACCGACTACGTGACGGAGGGTGGTTTGAGTACGCTCTACTAATGCTTGCTTGATGTTGGAGATTCCAAATGCTGCCTTGTGGGGTGAGGTGATATGGTAGTAGATGACGGAAGTCAAATGAAGAGTAACATTGTCCTTAGTCATGCAAACTTGCTGTCCAACCTCTGTTTTTTGTATTAGAAGTGGTTATATATGACTCGAAATTCTACATATCAACGATTTGAATCTTAACGTCAACTTGAATGAGACGTTCACTTAGAGGGTTGATCTTCACGATACCTGGGTCCACTGCACGGTAGAAGCGACCGAACTTGGTGACCAGTCCAACATTTCCCTGTGAGACGGGTTTGTATGGGTTAGGACAAAAGATACAACATGGAATAGCACCCATCGTTCCAACGCAAGATCCCAGAGCGTTGACTAGATGATGTTAGCGGGTAAGCTACCTGTGGTGAATTCAGGTTACTAACTCATGCTTCCGTACCATCCATGAGCGGATGCATCATCGCCTTGAAGTACTTGAGCATAGCTGGGTTGAAGGTCTTCTCTTCTGGGAGGTTGGACGTGTACTAGAGGGCTATCGCTGCGGACCGTTCGCTGGGTACCATTGATGGTTGATCCACCGGCATGGCTAATATTGTCATCCTTGCGAGGATCGATTGATGAAGCCATTTTGAGTGATGACGGTGATGTGCGTATATATGGGATTAAATATTGATGTAGTGCGGTCGTTGATAAAAGTTTGATGGTGTAATGAAGGGAGGATGATTGTATTAAATACACACAGGATCATGCGGGGAGGAGGTGGGAGCAGGTGGGAGCAGGTGGTGTGTCCCAAAGCTATAACCCGGTCGATGTGGAAAGTGGAGCCCGACATCATTGCGGGGAAGGAAGGTGCAGGTGCAGGTCACATCTGATTGGTTCTATGCCAGAGAGACTAGTAAGACTAGCAGGGGTAGTGGCACGTCTTACCTCTTTTTTCGGGGTTGACGCATTCACTGAGACACAACACAGCCGTACGGACGGCTTCTGTACAGAGCCGTTGATCTTTTACTCGTAGTCTCGTACATACCTACGAGTGAGTCTAGTACTTCATAGTCATTACTTAGCTAGGCGATGTTCTCGCCTATTCATCCTTTACTTTGCACGAATGAACTTCCTCGACTCTCACTATTTCGAATCGAATCTCAAGCTCAACACAAATTACTTACAATCATCATGATCTCCAGAAAGTGATCGGCTACAAGGCCGACTAGGTGGCTGACTCGGAAGCTGACAATTTCCACAGTTTCACAGCCAAAGAACAGGCACAGGCAGCATGCGCAGTAAGGTCGTCACGTAAACTTTATGTCAACCACTTCCACTTACTGAGCCCTGTAGAAAGTTTATTACAGATCCTAGCATCGTATCTTTGGGCCGTTCTGTCTTCCAGAAAATATCCGCGTATCCACACTCTGCACATCCTTGTTGGACCAGCCAAACATACAACCGTCATCTCCCGTCTTACAAACATTCGAAATACGATGTACGCTGCAATATCTCACACAAACTTCATGTTACACATACATGACATGCGGTACTCGAGTCGGAGAAATATCTTTACCGATCCCTATGAAGATACCACGTACATCTCCCATATACCTTACCATCAAATAATACCTCATCCCATTCCAATCATCAATTATACTATCGTCCGAAAAGCTTAGTCGGTTAGCGTGCTGAGCAAGTGGCCAACAAACCTCAACAAAGAAACCAAAAAACAGAAGATCATGATCACAAGACTTTCCCACCACCGCCCAACCTGGAAGACTCAGCCCCCGAACTCTCACAATCCTTCCAGAAAATTTCCATAATGGGTACACTGCGCGCAGCCATTTCCTTGCGTCATTCCTATTCGCTACTGTTCATACCCATCATATCCGAATCTGCGGATTGGAAGTGGCGATTCTGTCCATTCTCGTGCAAAGTACATAAGCCTCACCGCCAAGATATATCGCTCATCTTCTTTGGGATGTTAACTTATCCATCATGTCTGCCTATTTTCAATACGAAGATGATTTTCAGATATTTCGCCTGTCGTTTTTTTAATCGCTCTAATTACTCCATGGAATGAGATCTTACTCCACGAGATCGCCCAACTCTATGCGCCATGCACACCCAACCCAACGCTTTCTTGTCGTGGAGGCGCAGACAGCACCTTCCTGAATTTTCGTTGCTACGTCGTTGGGCGAAATTTCTGTATACAGCCAATGATTGAATTGCTCTCCTGCAAAAAGAGTGTGAGTACAGTACTACTCTGACAACAGTATTCCACTTATCGTTATCGGATTTTTGGATTTTTGTAATGCGCCGTTTCCACATGAATGATCTACACCTTCTGGATTTTCCTTTTCTGCTCCTCGTTCTTACATATGGAGACACCATTGGTTGCACAAAGTTCTTGAGGCAATCTGCCTGTCTGGTTTGCCTAACCTCGTCCTTTTGTTTGTTTGCGTTAGTGTAATCATTGGATTGACAGGGCTTAGTGGTCTTCAGCCTTCTCTCATTCCTGGAGTTATGGGAGATGGAGGCAGTGTAAGGCGGATATGTAAGCAGAAGTCATATTTCAGTATCATGTGATTTAATTTTCTCTCTCTCTGCCTACTGTATCTGTTCCCAGACGGGAAAACTGGGACTTTAACGGGGACTACTTATTCTCTAAGATAAGCCAGGAAGATAGAAACCTCTTATCCCGGAAACCAGAGAAATATGTAATACCAACATGGATATCGGTCACCCTTTAAGAACCTGAATACCATCTACCAAGACGTACCATCAGCTATAGGCAACAATCCTCCGCTGAACAATATGAAGCTATCTCTAGTCCTGGGCTCAAGCTAACCTTCTAAAACCACAAATCTTCCTCTTCCTCCTACCATTCTTCCTTTTCCTACCTACACTTCCACAATTCCCATACACACCCATTTCCCTTTCTCTACTAGTACATCACTATACTACCCGCTTGCGGCTTTATCATCTGAATTATATCATTCAGTACAAAATTTACTTTCGAGAATAGTGTTGTTGTCGATCGCCAGGTCTTCGTCTGGTTTTAAGTTACGCTGTGATGAGTTACATTTACGGAAGAACTTTGCGATGTCGGGTTTTGGATAAGGGAATGGGATGGTGGGATGGTGAGATGGTGAGGGAAGTGTTTTGGAGGTTGGAAGGGAGTGTGGTGGCGTGGTTGGTGTGGTTGTGGTGAACTGGTGGTGTTGGACTAGTGATTAGGAGATAGGGAGAGGGGTGGGATGGTATGGTATATATATCCGGATTCTTTGGGGGATTTATTGGAGATCAGGAGATAGAGAGGGGGGACCCGGGGGAGTAAGGGTGATAAAGGGGTTAGGACAGTCTAGACATGGTATGTATCTCTTGGATAAAGAAGGAAAAACACATGTTTATGACCACGAGTATAAGGATCATAATAGATATATTGGATATTTTGTAAGTTGGATTGTTCGTAGAGTTTTTGAATGTTAAACGAATTACTTGATTTTTGGTATTTTACTCTCCATGGACGGTTATGGGGGTGTTTGTTTGGGTTTGTGTGCAAATACATAATATCTTTCATCTTAGATTGGTAGATAGAGAAAGTCTCGCCTTTGTGATATCCCTGGCCGCTGGTATGGATAAGGTTTTCCCCCCCTTATCTAACGATATCCAGGAATGCTTACAATTAGGGCTTGTCCTCGAGGAAATCCTCGAGGAAATCCTCGAAATGTAGAAAGATAGTCTTTTAGTGAATCAACTATTTTATGTCTGAGCCTACAGAGTATAGCGAAAGGTTTTGCGTCGACCAAGCGGGTGTTGTCGATGGGATGGGGTTGTTCGGATGATTTATGAGGGGTTTTGTGGTATTGTACCGGGCTGGGATTGGTGAGGCTGGTATACAGGAGACAGGAAATGTTTTTGTATGTAAAGGAGTGCTGTGGTAGGAGATGGGTAATTTTGTGTTGGGGCAGTCGGTGTATCGAGAATCCATCTCGTACCAGTGGTTTTCATGTTTGACGATGGAAAATCTGTTCTAGAATGTTGGGTTATTTAGGTCATTAAGGGGAAGTTGAAGGCTGTGAGCGAGGAGGTGGGTATGAATAGATTGTCAGCTAATATAGGCTTTTGAAAATATAGGTGAGACTCTGATCATGAAACCGTGTTTGGCTTTTTGTCGTCGTGTTTCTTGTAGATGTATATAAAATGAAGGTTCTATATAAAGAAAAGATCCTGTCTATAGCAAAAGCTTCGATCTAAAATAGACTTTAATCTTCAAGGACCAATAGACAGGGAAATGAGGAAGCTAAAAGATGTTCCTGATTCCTTTATTTAACGTAATTAAGCGAAGAAACAAGGACAACCTATACCTTTTCTCTCTTGACCTTTATTATAGCATCTGTTATAGTAACGTAGTAGGATATAACTAAAAACACAAAAGAAATAACTGTATGAATTTGATATTGTAGAACCTCCTAGCTTGTTAACTGTAATTCACTATCTTACCCGGCTCATCCAAATTATTTCCATTCGCATAGAAAATTACCTTCGAGGCTGGATTTATAATCGAATCGAGCTACAATTTTCAATCTTCCCCAACTAATATGCATCCCCAGAGCGGCTGACCGCCGCATATATTTCAAGGAGCCTGGATTGGACATCATGTAGCGTATTGAAATCGTCTGATTGGATCTTACTAAAGGGGTGGGAGGGTACGGTGATAGAACTGTTCTTTGATTGTCTCTCTGACTTTGAGCCACTCTTTGTCTGTTCCTGTTTATCTTGAAAATGCCTGAACTTAGTATAATTCTTTATATAGAGTCTTAGTACTATAGTAATATGCTATTAAAGAGTTGCGGAGTGAGAGAGATATGTTAACAGTTTAGATACTTGACACTCTAGAATAGAGATTTATAGGCTGCGTTTCGCAAGTGCTATATTATGTTTTATGAAAGGGAGCGGTATTATTGTTTCTAATCATAAGATACGAATATCATAAGAAGTAGCTAAAAGCAGAATTTTAAATTATATTCACAAATAAGGTTTAAAGAAACTAAGGGCTAAGAATGGTTATATAGTAGTTATTTACATGTTATAGTACTATCTACGATATAAAATAGAAGCCTTCAACACCTTTTTCTATTAGTTATAATATTAAAGTAGTATAAGAAGAACTGATTCTCAAATAGTAGATATCTTCTAGATTAGGTATAGTGTTTTATTAACCCACCTAGTACCTGTTCATCTGAATTTTCTTCATTCACAGAGAAAGTTACTCCCAGAACTAACTTCACTCTCGAATTGAGAGGTAATTTGAATTCTTTTATGTTTAATAGCCTGAACTAGGACTACTGTTTTACTATAATTGTCTAGTGATATGAGAATTTAGGACTAAGAGGAATGTGCTAACTATTAAGACAACCTAGGTACTAAAAGACAGGGAGGAAGCTTAGCTAGCTCTTTGAACTTAGGCTCGTTTTGTCTTTATTATATAATTCGTTGTTATGATCGTTAATAAACGTGTAAGGATTGTCCTTGCTGTGAAATATTTACTATAGGATATTAAGAAGATATATAGGTAAACATTAGTTTCTTTACTTAAACAGATTTAGAAGGGTACTCTTATAGTAGTAGGTGTAACTCTAGGTTCGGTAGGCTACTACTTCACATTGTAGTTCTTGGAGGCTCTAGGATATAGTACGTAACTCTCGCGTACTATGCTTCCAAAATAAAATACTCAAAGAGTAGTAGAAGCGGATCTACTGACTAGTACGCTATTATTAAC